TGCCTTGAGCCGAAAGCATTCATCTGGGGCACTATTGACAAGCTTGAGGGCATTGAGAGCCCAATTGGAGGTATCTAGCGATGGTGCCTTGTTAGCTAGATTCGAGGTGAGACCTACATTACTTGATGAAATCAAGAAGGGTCAAGAAACCGACGAAGAACTTATGAAGATCCGTGAACGCATGCTAGCGGGACCGGTTGAGGATTTCAGGGAGAGAGACGATGGTCTCTTATTATTTCGTGACCGAGTGTGTATACTGTTGGATGATGAGCTCCGAAGGTCCATCTTAGAGGAGGCTCACTCATCGGCGTATGCCATGCACCCGGGAGGCACGAAGATGTACCGTGATTTGAAGGAAAGTTACTGGTGGTCGGGTATGAAGAGGGAAATAGCCGAGTACATCAGCAGGTGTCTTACTTGTCAGAAGGTTAAGGCAGAACATCAGCATCCGGCTGGGTTACTACAGCCACTTTCCATTCCCGAATGGAAGTGGGAGCACGTGACTATGGATTTCGTGGTGGGGCTGCCACGAACGGTTAGGAACTATGATGCCGTATGGGTGGTGGTCGATAGGCTCACGAAGAGTGCACACTTTCTACCTATCAACACTCCCTATGCACTAGAGAGGTTAGCCAAGTTGTATGTGGACGAGATCGTGAGGCTACATGGGGTTCCTATAACCATTGTATCCGATAGAGATCCGCGATTCACATCACGATTTTGGCCGAAATTCCAAGAATCTATGGGGACCAAATTGAAATTCAGTACAGCTTTTCATCCACAAACGGATGGGCAATCTGAGCGGGTTATACAGATATTAGAGGATATGTTGAGAGCCTGTGCATTGGAGTTCCAAGGGAGTTGGGACAGCCATTTGTCACTTGTGGAGTTTGCCTATAACAACAGTTATCAGGCGAGTATAGGCATGCCTCCGTACGAGGCATTGTATGGGAGGAGATGTCGTACACCGTTGTGTTGGGATGAGGTTGGCATGGCCAAACTCGAGAGCACGGAATTGGTGGAGATCACCAAGTCTAAGGTGAAGATGATTCGTGAGAGACTTAAGGCGGCCCAGGATAGACAGAAAAGTTATGCCGATAAGCGCCGAAGAGCCTTGGAGTTTAAGGTGGGAGATGAAGTATTTTTGAAAGTTTCACCTTGGAAGGGAATCATCTGATTTCAGGGCCGAGGGAAACTTAACCCACGATACATAGGGCCATTCGTGGTTCTTGAGAGGATTGGGGCCGTGGCATACCGATTACAGTTGACTCCAGAATTGGAGAAGATACATAACGTATTCCACGTGTCCATGCTTAAGAAGTATATGCCGGATCCATCTCATGTATTAGAAAAACCACCCGTGGAAATACGGGAAGACTTGAATTATGCCGTGCAACCGGTGAAGATACTTGACAGGCAAGTCAAGAAATTGAGAAGCAAGAAAGTTCCAATGGTTAAAATCCTTTGGAAAAGTGACCGAGTTGAGGAGGAAACTTGGGAGACGGAAGCTTTGATGAAAGAGCAATACGCGTTTTTGTTTGAATGAGCATTGTGAATTTCGGGGACGAAATTCCTGTTAAGGGGGGGTGAACTTGTAACACCGACCCCGAGCATATTTACTTTTAGTAAATTATGTAATAAACCTTGAAAGATGATTTATGAATTTGCGTAATTGTAAATTTTTATTATTTCTTTTACGTGAATAGTAAATTGCATGTGGGGCCCACAGCGGGACGGGGACCGCCCGATAATTCCCGAACCACATATTATATCCATCTTGGTCTAGATGACACCTATATGGGGGTGGATATTCTATTTGGGCCATAAGAAAGGCATGGAGTTGACCGGTTGGTCAAACGGGGCCCAATTACCGGTATTGGTAATTTAACGGATAACAACCCGAAATGAGTTTCGGAGACTCCTAAATTAATGTTGGGGAATGTACATCTATTCTAAAGGCCCATAATTATTAGGAACACGTGATATATTTTATTTGGCCCGATAAAATAAAATATGACTAAACTAGTCCGAAAAATACAACTTTCGGGGCCGATTGTACTCACCGGGACATAATGGGATGACCTCCCGCATAAGTGGGGGCCACCCCACGTTTTTATGGGTGCTGAATGACCAGATTTAATGGAAATGGGACATCCAAAGTTGGCTTATGCGGACTTATGAAGGAGAGGGTAGCTGGGGGACAAAACCACACCCCTCCTTGTCTCATTCATGCACCATCCTCACAAGGTGAGAGGACCTGATGGACTCCTCCCTCATTCTACACCATAAGGAGGATAGAATAGAGAGATAAGGTCCAGGGAAGAGCTCTCAAAGGTTGGAGCTTGAGGCCAGCAAGAAGAAAGGAAATCCAAAGAGAAAAAGCTAGGCATTGAGGTAAGAACATCAATAGTTCTTTTAACTAGTTTTATGGAGTATGATTTGTAAGAAATCATATGGTGGATTAAACCTTGAGTTCTACACGTTTAAAAGTGTAGAATATTGTTATAAAGTGGTGGTAATTAACTTAGAAGGGTTGGCAAATCGATAGGAGTCGAAACCGCCGGAAACCGCCATTCCAAAGGAGCTGTTCGTAGCTGCAGACTACGAAAGCCGCCCGGCTTTTGCCCAGGCAGTCCAGCTTTTGCCTTTCATCGGTTTAAAACGAGGATTTATCGGGAAGCTCAGCAAAGACAACTATTTCAGCACATCATAAGGTGAGGATGGCTGACTATATTGCTTATAATTAGTGAGTTAATTTAACGAGATTACCGAAGGTAATTAAATGTGTTTTTATGGATTATTAATGATTAATAATGCCTAAAAATGAAAAGACTAAATGTCTAAAGAAATAGGGAGCATGATATACAAATTTAAGAGTAAATTGTGTATGTTCATGTGTTATGAGTATGTTGCCTTGAAAGTGGAATTTATTATGAAACATATGTTGAAATATACTTTTTCTTCATATTAGAATATATGAGTGATTAAAAGTGATATTTTGAATATTGAGATAAATGATATTTGCAAAGGAAAATCAGTTGGAATTGTCTATATGACTACGAGTTGAGAACTTGGTTTGTTGATATTAATTTGACTAGTATTAAGATACTAGTTGGACATTAAAATGAAATGTTGTTAAGATTGATCCTAAGGTTGGATTGTGAAATGTTATGCCTTAAGTAGTCTTAAGAGATACTTTAAAGTAGGAAAGTATGAACTCTAAGTTATACTAGGGGTAGGCCTTAAGGGATACCCAAGTTAATGCAAATATTAATTGATCCTAAGTATAGGATTGGCCTGCGGGTGTGTTCGGTAGTCCTTGTGGATAGCCGGTTCAATTATGGAAATAGTAAGGACCATGGCCCTTCCTGACTCTAGAGAGCGGGGTTGGATAGCATGGACTTACATCGTGATCACGGGTTAGGGTGGAATCCGAATCGGAGACCTAACTAGGTTCCGGTAGCGGTAACACATAAGATAGGACCCCGAAGGGCCTTACCTTCCTACGGGATGATGGGTATGAGTCCAGGGGCGGGATGTTGGAGTCCGAACCGGGAGCCTCATGAGGTCTCGGACAGCGGTAGCAAGTCCCGTAGAAATAATAAGACCCAAAGGTTGGGTTGTGCAAATAATAAATGAAAAGGGATATATAAGAAGGGCCGTGTGCCGACAAATAAATAAATTTACTTATTATAAAGATAATAAGTGGGAAATATAAATTATTCTTTATATTATGATATCACCCTATTTTAAGGGTCTTGGAAATTAAAACGTTGATTATACTTAGTATAGTTGCTATTGTACTTGTCAAATATTTCCAAGTACTGACCTCCCCTTCACGGGGGAGGCCACCTCACAGTTTCAGGTAGAACTTGAAGTTGCTACCATTGCCCATTGCTCCGGGAGGCTCAAGGGAGGAAGACGTGGTTCGTGCTTCTTCCGTTCTGTTTTAAAAACAATTAAGTTAATGCTCATGGATACTATTTTCGTAATAATTACTTTGGGGGCTTGTATGCCTAGTTATGCCAAATGTGGCTTGAACAATTGTATTAATGCTTCCGCTGTTTTAAATGCATGTTTTACATTATGTTTGTTTATGGATGTACTATGTGTGAATGATATTCATGACGCCTTGTACAGTATGGATGAGTTGGACTGCGGTTGACTATTCGTACTGTACGGCGGGTTGTTGACGTGTCCGGCTAGGTCCGGGGCGTGACATTTTTAAAAGACATATAGCATTTGTTGCGTTTAGATCTGTAGATCTATGTAGTTGTGATGCCTATTTGTCTGAATAGGCTCGGTCTATCTAGATGTTTGCATCTGTTATACCTACATTGATATGCATCAGTTTTTAATTAATTGAGTACTGAGGTTGGGCTTGCCAAATTCCCTGTCAGCCACGTAATGGCCTTCGGATCTGCGCGGTTTGACAGGCCCATTGCCAAGTACAGTGCATCAAGCAAACTGGTAAGGATTGCCTCTGACCTATATTACTGAGATGCGGAACAATGCCAATGGACTGACTAACGTGTTAAATAACTGGCCCAAATAGATATGTTGTTTATGAATATTCTAAAACGTATTAAAAACATCCTACTTTTATTATCTAGTTTTGCAATTATATCTGCTCATTCAAATTGTTTATTATCATACCTTGGTTAGATAGATCCTCTTTTGCTCTTTTACGGTTGATTACTGTTGATTTAGTCAGCCTTCTCATATTTAAATTCACCACAAATACATTACCTGGATTTTAGCAGGGTTTTTTCTGGCATCGGCATTATATATATTATTATAAACTGCTAAAAGATCCATACATTGCATAACTGACACATGTTATCATAAACAATTGTATTTTAACATGCGAATGATACATATATAGTTCATCATTGTCATTCTTCATTCAAACTACCATACATTGAACATATCACTAAAGATAAAGATCCACATTTGTCATGCATATATTAGAAATGATTCATTTTACAAATTCTTAGTTGCGTGGACTCATCCAATCAAAAGACATGCCTACAATCATATCTTCATTAAAGTACTTGTTATTCAGTTTTATAATCCGACCAGATTTCCTTGGTATCATAGAAGATGCATCTACCCATTCTGCACAATATTTGCATAAGTAATCCACAAACTTTCTGTTCTTGTTTATTTGCTTCATGCAGAAAAAGTGACTATAGTTTGAATGACACCATGAGCATGCATCCAATAAAATGCCAACACAATGTTTTCCACATGTATAGCATCCTCGAGTTGAATGTACCTCACATGAACACTCACTCATCTTGAAAATCTAGAATGCACAATAGGTTATGTAAAAGCACATTCATAAAAGTAATGCATGACATGTGATGTATCTATTTGGTTATGTAATTCATGGTATTTGCATAGTAATGTGTTTCAACTGGCGATAGAAAATACAATATCAGACTTACACTGGATTAAGATTCAATGGCTTGTGGTAGATATATGAACTTCAGTCCATGTGAGTGATGTTCTGCTTCGAATGTTTGGTCTGTCTCATAAATGAATTCATTAGGTAGTAGTTGAGGTATTCAAGAGTATTTATGTTCCACATTGTGAAGATGCTCCAATACCGTTGGTAAGTAGCCAATTCTGTCATACATTTATTATGATTGTGGCCTTACATTATAAGTGAACCTTGGGAACACGCTACTTTCAACCACTTTGGCCAGATATGGTACTCAGCGTGAGTACTTTCCAATGCCGGATTTCAAAAATTCTATTCTCAGGTATGATTTTAATAAATGCCACCTTTGGAAGACCCACATTTCAACAGCTTCGTCCAGCTTTAGTATTTGACAGAAACACTTTTCTATATCGATTTTTGTAAATGCTAAACTAAGCTTTAGTTCATGACAATTTCTGGCTCTGTTTTACTGGAGTCAAACAATCTATTTTCTTAATGTTATATCCTATTAAATTAATATTATGTTGTATCCATTTGTCTTAGCGAACTAATATTTTATTGAAGTGTTTATTAACTTTTACACTTTTGTAAGGCCTCCATGTTATATAAGTATACAAAAATTTGTATATTTTTTCTAACATTGCATTAGGCCAATATCAAATGTGCTCAAAATATGCGAATTAACTAATTTTAATTATTTATTATAAATTTTTTATAGACATCTTAAAATCATATCAGTAATGATGGTATTTTAAATGCTATATTTTATAATGGATATTCTATATAATTTTACTCATTAAAAAGATAAAAAATTTAAATGATATCTTATTATATGTTTAGTGTCTTACATATACCACTAACGTAGTTCTTGTATTTAAAATGATTTTATGCAGTTATAATTTCTCATACCGATTAGAAATTAGATATATTTTGAGCACACATACATAATATTATATTATTACAATAAGCTTTTAAATTAGTTATATACGATATATATAAAGTATTGTTTTCACTTGTATGTTGTGCAAGGAACTGGCCTCACTATCAATCTTGCTTACTCTTATTATTTTCATTTCAGGTGCATTCAGGAACATTAAATTTTGTTTTTGTATTTTATTTTTTAGTTTGATGAATGTAATTTATAGGTATTTAGGGCATTTAAAAAGGTGTCCTCATATGTAATAATTAAATAGTTTAGATTTAGGATGCAGGTTTCCATATCCACACCAAAGACCATGTATGTGTTCTTACGTCCAATATCAACCGAGTGAATATAGATGCACTTAAACATTTTAGGCAGCAAATACTGTATGGTTGCATCTCTACAGGTTTTTCAAAAGTTCGATATAAAATTATTATAAACAGTTTTTTAGCACAATTTTAATTATTCCAGTTTATAAAGGCAATTTTTTTTGCAATTTTTTTTTTCATATCCGGTTTTATTTATAATAATTCTATCCAGAGTTTGCCATGTAATTGTGTCATTCCCTTTGTAAAATTTGTTTCCTCTGAATTTTCTATGTCGAAAATTGGTTTTGTTCATGTTTATTATGTAGTTAAAATTTGATAAAACTGAAAGGGTTTTGTCCTCACATGTTTTCAAAATTGGAGACCTCTAAGTTTCATTTGAAAACAAATCATATCTACAAATACTATTTTTCAAAATATTCATACGCCTATAACGATTGTAAAAGTTCTTACTGTATTATCAAAACTAAATGTTACATTTTTGATCACATAGACACACACACCTTACTAAAAAAAAATGATACAAATTTACAGAATTTGCTGCCTATAATTTATATGATAGTTGATGTAATTCACTTATTCACACAGGTCATCCGTCTATCATGGTCTTTCATATCACAATATTTTTTCTTCTCTCATCTTTGTATCTTGGTACATGCTTTATAAACCTGACCCTACAAAACAGCCGACATAGCAAAAAATCGAATATAGAATGAAGTATTGTAAAACATAGAAAGTCCTAGGTTGACAATACTACCATCCCATATCATCCAAGAAAAAACATAGATAGAAAATACCCAGTCATAGACTTTTAGGTTTAGTTATTACAGACACACGGCTTATAGTTTAGCAAAAAAGTTGAGTACTGTCTCAAGTAAACATAGCACTGCATAGACCAAATGTTCAACAAAGCCACATTAGTGAAATTTTTCTTCAAACAAAATAGAGCCTTGGTCTGTAGGTTGCTTTCCACAACTATTCCTTTTCTTGCTTAACCCTGACACTCCGCCTTTTGTTGTTTCCGTTAGCTGAAAACTGGTCATATAGGTTCCTCTTTAGTTGTTCGTTTCCTTCAGTAAGAACATTTTTTGACGTAGCTGTTTTTGGTGTTAAGTCTTCTCTACCATCAACCTCCTTACCCTGTTTTATCAATAAAATTTATCATACATTACCCTAACTTGAATATTGCGGAATATTAAAACGTAACATTATATGAACCACCTTATCCAACTTCCTTTGTTCTTTGTCTTCATGTTGGGTTGGTTTTACAAAATCATCCTCCTCAATCACCACAACTTGTATAGATTACCTTTGTATAAGTATAAAGTATACCACATAAGACCTTTCTAATATGTATCTATTATCCAAACCTTATCTTTTGACTTGCTGCAAGCAGTTCCATCTTCCATCTCGCTTCGAGTTGATCCACTCTACAATTATAAGTTTGTTACAATTCATCTGTTACACGAAATCAAAACAGTTTAAAAAATAGGTACCTTCTCTGCATCTGTGTTATCTTCCACTTGTAGTGTATGATTATCCTTTTTAGCATAAAGGGCCAGGATAGACGGATCTCTTATCACTGCAAGAATCCCATAAGAAACCGGGCCTTTATAGGAACTCCTTTCATCTCTTGCTTTCACTTGAATTTTGAAGATCCCTCTTTGGTCAATTAGGGCCTCTATGTCCTCAGGGAAGTGTGTTTGGTCTCCATTTTTCTGAAAAAACAGCTTAGTTTTTTCCATGAAATTTTGTTTTACTAAATCAAAGGATGTTTAGAATCAACCTTTTCAACTTCCTTCCTTAATGTTGCTGCTGTCTTTCCCACAATTTCAGTACATTCTCTATCTCATAGGGTGAATGTAGAATGACCTGAGTCATCCATGACAACCACCGAGACTTTGTATCTGCATTTTAAATACGTGAGATCAAAGCTTTCAATCTTAGAATATTAAGAAATATGTAACATGTGATGTAAGAGTTATTACAACCTCATAATTCCTTCGGGAAGAGTTGTGTCACATGTTATACATTTAAACCTGTCATCATCCGGTTTGATTTTCTTGTTGCATGTTGGGCAGCTAAGTTAGCACCATTCCTTGTAGTTGTCTAGTGACACTATATCACCGAGTAGCCAATAGGTTCCATCCTGCATAGGCACAAATTCATAGTTATTAACTTGTTATATTTAAACAAATTGAACTTATGTATAGTGCGGAATATTGTTTACTTGAGGTTCCTCTAGTAAGTCACAAATGTTTGTGATAGATGCGTTTCCTCTAAAAACCTCCTCACTGCCTTGTCCCACTGAATTTGAAGTGAAGGTTGTGATTGTTGTGTTATGGTCATCTGATCCGAATCTGTTAGGCATAAGTGGATCATAAATTGAGTCATTCATAAAGATTTGAAGTTCAAATAAGCATTCAGGAAACACTCACTGCGTTTTGAAGTCATCAAATTCTGGAGTAGATCCATTCATTATCAACTTAGAAACATCATAAGACGTACCAACAAAAACTTGACCTTAAAAATTTACAAACTTTCATTAGCCCGCAGTGGTCTTGTAAAAAATCCACATTAAATGTATTGTATAAAGTTTACCTTGATAGCGTCTCGGTCTCCCCATTTGTAGAATGATGTAAATTCCTTCATCCTTGTGCACATCATAAAAATCAGTGAACTGCTTGCAGTAGTGATTCCACAATGTGCGATTTCCCCTACAATTAGGACTCATATAATTAGGAAGCATATAAAGATTATAACACTGATTCTGTAGCTATATCTTAAGATTAGGATACTACTCTGGATCTTCCAATGTCAGTTCAATGAGCCTCTCCGGTTTCCCATTAACGATTGGCGTTTGTATTGGAGTCTTTCCTACATACTTTCCAATGACGTCTGTAGGATAATTCTATGATGTTAAATCATACTATGTATAATATTAGTGAAATACCTCCTAGTTACTATAAGAAATTACCTATTAGCAATTTGTCGTTAACAATCCTGAGGCTCTGCAATGCATCAAATTGGTGGAAATTATACACTTTATTCGGAAAAGTTTCTTCATGAAGTTCATAGACTGTAGTTTTTTTGTAAAACTCCAAAAGATAGGGGTGCTCTGTGGTTTTATAGTTGTAGTAGTTATCAAAAACCAAGAAGTTCTTGATCCTAAAACATTTGTTTTACACCAGTGTAGCATGAGCGGCCTCTTAATGACTGCATGTATACGGTCACCCTGCAACAATACATAAATAAGGATTATATCATTCGAAAGATGACAGACTTAAATTGCAAGTTAAAATAAAAACCGAAATATTATTTACATCCTCATCATGAAAAACAACTTCCATTCTGGCGCCTCCTTTGGCATGAGAGGGAACCTCATAAGCTCTTACCACCCTTACTCTAAGAGCCCAACTGGACCTAGTGTGGTCAACTTCTCTGATCATAGAATACAGATTACTGTTATTTTGCTCAGTGTTTTCTTTGTTTGGTGCCATTGTGTGTTTGTGTGATGTTGAGTTCGAAATGAGACCTCGTATTTATAACGTCTTGCAAACTTAGGTTTTGCAATGGTATTGAATAATCTAGTGGGTAATGTGTGTCAACCCTCTCAACCACCTTATTTATTGTCAACCAACTCATTAAATGAACAACCAATCGCAACCAATGCTTTGACTCGTACATTAATTGCATCGAACATTGAACCAAAAGCAAATAAGTCACACCCGCATTCAATACTTTTGACCACCACGATATTATATTTGTTGTCTACGAAAACGTTTTGAGCTGCATTAAAAGTTGAATCAAAGAAAAGTCGTCAAAGTCCTGCA